CCTAGTTGAAACTTAGTAGCTCCCAACTAACAACAGAAAGAAGCTCAAATAAACAAGTCACACATCTTTATGTATTAACGTCACACACAGAGGTTCAAAAAGATGGGCTTGCTCAATGTCAAGGTTTCAAATGTAAAATTAACATTATACTGATGAAGATATGACACTCAGATCCTCGGAAGACATGTCCTTCACCAAGTTTGAGCTCTCTTTGAATATGCTTTCAACACACTCACACACATCAGACTGCTCAGAAGGGGCCATCAGGGGTCAGAAGGACAAGTGATATTATCACATGTTCTTCTGCATGTTGTATGCAGTTACACATTTCCACCAGAGAGGTCTCCAAATCCCCAAAACTTAAGCTATGTTCACATTACAAGCCTCACTGCTCAAATCCAATTTTTTGCTCAAATCTGATCTATCTGACAAGATGGTTCACACTCGTTTAGGTACGTGACTCTGTCATTAAAGTGAACGAACCGGCGTGCTGAAATGACCCGCATCAGTAACGTCACGTGAATGAATCACGTGTGTCACGTGCGTCATCAGCAAACAAACTAATGGTCAGAACGAGCCTTCGCTGAGAAGATCATTAACTCTGATCAGCTCTCAGCTGTTCATTATTAGAGCGAGATGACAAAAAAAGTGAGATTTGTTGCTTTTCTACCATTTACAGGCTTTAACTTCTGTTTGGCGCTGCTGCCATGGTAACGCTGAAAGAAACTAATAGAAATTAATACAAATTGTGCACTAAAATTAGCAGAAAAATGCTATATTAAGTGTGTTCTCTGTAGAGGATGTGTTAACTTATCTGCAACTTGACTGGGGGTGTTCAAACTTTTGTATACACCTATACTTCCATGCATTTGCCACAACCCAACGGTTGAAGGCACATCCAGTTTACATTGCTTGCTGCGACTTACACATATCTTTGTGAAAGCTGACAACTGTGGAAAAATTAGCAGTCAGCTAAAATAATTGTGAATATGTAAATTGTGACAAGCCTATAACAGGAACGACACAATATGCCATTATGGCAGGCTATTTTAACAATTCAGCAATCAGGCCAAGGTATCAACATGTTCAGTATCAATAAATGATGCTGCCAAAGTCAAAAATGTATGTATTGTGAGGAGTAAATCAGAATAAAAAAAAATCTGTACGAATGTAATATAAACTGATAAATAGGCATATGAGGGCACCTCTAGTTGGCAAACAAAAATCAGCACACATGATTTGCTGTATTGTCCTGTTAAAGTATCCAAGGTTCAACCAGACTGAACCACATATGTATGTATCCTTACAAGCATCCGCCACCAAGAAGAAATAATTAAAACGCCGGCTAAGGTATTATGAATGTAAAGTGAGAAAACAAAAAAAAGAACATAAAGAAGACTTACTCACTCTCAATCACTCAACATCAGTCAGTACTGTCCACTTGAAAAATCGCTTCAATTTAACTCAAACAAACGGAACATAATTGCACCAATTTTATCGTTACTGGTTTTGGCTTGTAAATGCACTACTTACTTCACTGACCAGACATGTCCATGACCCTCAACTAGAACAAGGAAACACACTTTAATCACACAATACCGTCATCCCACATTACTGCTTTCCATTAAGATGGAGGAGGCTCTTCTGGTAAGCACAGTTTTAGAATTAGCAGTGGGGGCGTAGCCTGGAGAAACCGCTCTACTCAGTCTGCAGGAGAGGGTAAGTGGGAGAGCTGAAGCTGAAGCTGCCTCATAGGGCTGTTCTGTCTATTTAGAGGAAAACAAAACACCCCATCAACATGTTATTATCTACGCAGTCTGGGGCAACTGTAGAAGAGTACGCTTTAATCGGATTATGAGCTCTAGAGAAAGTCTGCGAAGTCATAAAAATACTAGAATGTTAGAATCAAAACAACAGCTTACAAAAACAAATCATGACTTGAAGTTCAAAGCTCGAAGAAACAACATGCTCTATGGACCATTAGCCTTATGAATAAACATACAATACACAATTCTAATATACAGCTTTCTGGAACAGACCTTTGGTCTTTGTGGGAATACTGGCGTGGAAGGCTAATCCTGTAAGTATAAACTGTGTTTTTCCCCTGAATGTTCCCTCAGCAGCCGTGCTTCATAACCCTCAGTCATGACTAATGCAATACCTACATTACACATGCATGCAAGGCTATTAGAAAAAAGGTCACAGTGAGATGGTGAATAGTGATGCTCTGGCATTTCAGAGGGGATAAGACATGTTTAGCACAGCGGCATCTGCTATTTACATACGCTGTTCAGATGAGTGGCTTCATTTGAAGAACTGGAGCCCTGCGAGACTGAGGTTTAAACTGTGCTCCTGCGGCAATCAAATAAGAAGAGTGCTGTAAATCCAGTGTTAATGCATTCATGTATAAATGCACTGTAAACGCACACACACATTTTGGTTTTTATACAGGGTCAGGACGTGAGGTTATGCATGTCCAGTATGTGTTGTACGTAGGTAGCTACAGTATTCAAAAGTTGTCTTGGAATACCTCTATCTAACTGTATTATGGAAACTGTGCTTAACTGTATACAAAAGTACATCATACATAGTACATACATAACATGAGGACTGAATCTCTCATGCTAAATTACAGGTTTATTTTATCTATGTCCACATATGGACACTTACTGTACACACTGTACTTTCTGCGCACCTTATCACACATCTTGCACATCTGGACACTCCACACCTAGACACTTTATTTCAGTACCAATATATGCACATATTTATTCAGTATGGTCATTATATGCTGTTACCCATGCCTCCTTGTACATTCATTATTGCACTGCCTTTTTTTATCTCAGGTTATAGATCTTATTGCATATTTTTGTCTATTTGTATATATGCCTGTTGATAGGGTTTTGTATATATTCTTATTTTATATTGTATCACCCTTATTATTATAACTGTCCTGTGTGACTGCCACTGGCTGCTACCCTTCCTTCGAGATCAACAAAGTATGCATCCATCCATCCATCAATCCATCCATGCATCCATCTACCTACCTATCAGGATGTCTGGCTGTATTAGAACTTATCAATCAATACTCTGGGTCCAACTGCACAATAGGAAACTAGAAAACTTCCATCTAGCCCCCCATTTTCTTCAAACCAAGTTAAAACACTAATCTAAATGCACACATTCAAAAAAGAGACCTTCAAATACTACTCCTGGAAAGCCACACCTGACTTAATTTCATTAACTTACTGAAAGATGTTGCTTTAGAAAGCTTGAATGTTGAGTTAAGTGCTCAAATATCTGAATCTAAGAAAAAAAAATGTCTCTTGCTTACAAAATGTCTGTGAGTATAGATACACTGTACATTCCAAAATTAAGCATAAAAAATGTACTGAAGTGTTGGAAAAAGACCAGAATCTGCCATTAAAAAGAGAAGATTCAACAAACCTGGCTGAGCATCAGTTGTGCAAACTCATGTACTCCATCTTTCAAGACTTCAAGCTGTGATCCAAAAAGAGGTAAATACAACAAAATACTAACCTACATAAAATACTAAATACTGAATTATGCAAAGAAAAGAGACACTAATATTTGTCCCACTAATGTTTGAGAACTTTTACTTGCTTTACTTAACTTTTCAATTAATTACCAGGATCATTTTGAGCTTTAGTTAGTAAAGCTGGTTGTTATTGCTGTTGTTATAACTCTTCTGAAAACTTCAGCTTGGTAAGTAACAAATAAAGAAGGCATTCCAATAATTTTTAATAAGTTTTTAATGTAGTCAGTGTGTTTTTGTCCACACACAGAACCATACAAACTAAGGGAGTTGCTGTCAACACAGATCAAATCAGGTTTAAAACACTGTTATATGAGGCATCTGGGTGCATACTATCAAAGTAAAGTGGGCAGAGGTTTATGCTATGCTCGCACTCGCAGTCAAATCACTGTGCTTTTCAGAAATTACGCATAAATGATTTTTGGGGTTCATTTTTTCCTAGAGGGCGAAACGCCAGCCATTGAAAAATTCTCATGGAGTACATATAACTGAGTGGTATATAATTAGAGCTTTGTAGAATATTTTTCAAACATTTATATTTAACACCTAATATACTGAAAATAAAAAATAAACCTATTTTTGTAGGTCAATAGTGCTTTATAGTAAAAATAGTAAAAGCAAAAAATAAAATAGTAAAAACAAATTTGAAATAATAGATAAGCCTATGTCAGTATCGCTTTCTGACACTAGCCCCGCAGGCAAAACCAAAACAGTGTTAAACGTTTTTTCACATCTGAATCTCTACAAGGCTGAAGTTGGTTTCTTATTTGGCAGCTTTTGGTTCAATTTTCTGCTCCACCTTAAACAGAACAGCAGTTACATTCTGGCACCTGTACAGGCATCCGAGTCTATCTGTCGCACCATTTAAGGTGGAATGGGAGATTCAAATGGAAGCAAACTTCAGCTTCATTGAATTTAATTTGTCTCATTTGTGCGTCCAGCAAACTCCAAAGTCCAAAGTACCAGCTGGTCCATGGCTTGTTTCGCGCACAAGGCCCTGACTGTCTGTTTATGAGAGAAAACAGAAGTGCACCAATTGCTCTGGTGGCTCAGTTCCATGCTAAATTTTTGCTGTATCTAAAATGTATAGAGACACTAGCGTATCATTTTGAATCAAATTTTCAATTTTGTATATCATTATGCCCCTAATATAAACGCAAAACAAGTGCATAACTTAGCCTCAGTGGCCACAGAATTCCAACCCCCGACACACACTCTCACTAGGCTGTGTTCATCCAAGTGTGCTATCGATAATGCTGGTCTCATAAGCCTCAAGGCTCCACTGCAGAAGTGCCACCTGAGTGCACACTGTCAGCACACACACATACAACACATATGATCCCTCCCCCACACACAGGAAAACAATTCTGAACACATAAAAACACAGCTATACAGGGACATACATTGGTCTCAACCACGTAGGCAGAAAAAATCTAAATCATACCTCAGCCATGAGACGCAAAGGAAAAACCAGCCGCTCTCCTACAGAACTGGACCATTCAAAAACCTCCATAAACAGACGTGGATAAGTGAGCTCTCTCCCTCTCTCACAGTGCAGCCAATCAGAGCAGCTCAAAGGTGTGACTTCACAAGAGCGACTGTATGAATGAGACAAGCGCAACACAGAAGGGAAGAAATGAAATGAATGAAATGCAGTGGAACAAATGTAGAGACAGACAGGAGGAGAAAGATGCCGATACATCAGTTACCATCTGCAGTCACTCACCTTACTCCAACAGCTTCTTCCTTGCTACACACATAAAAGACAAGAAACAACAATCCCAGCATCCAACTGGCCAGTGCCTGTAACCAATCAGTCGCTGTGGGCTGTTTTCTCTCATGCACTGTGGCCAGCCCAACATGCATCATTAATGCAGTGCAGAGACATCCGCCTTGGCCTGCTGATCGTAGCCTTTGCCTATTGATCTCCACATTACAGCAGTAATCATGTAGCTGCAGTTAGCTGCCTCAGAGCTCGCTGAGACATCCCGCTCATCCAGGCAGAATTAACTCATGCACAGTTCACAGTGGAACCGCTCTGAGTTGTATAGTGATGTCTGAATCCAATGTACTGTCACTTTAAAATAGACTGCATGAAACTTAACTGGTTGGAGTTACTCTAATGCCAGTGTCAGCACTAGCCCCCGACGTCTAGTCAGTGACTCTACACCATGCATTTGCCTGTATATGGTTCGTTCACAGGATGTTGAATTGAAGAACTGTGTCTGACAATGTTCTCTTCAAGTCCGAAGGAGAAGCTGTCCTCAGTGGCTGTTTGAGGGTTTACTGAGTGCAGGATACATTATCATCTTAAAACTGAACCTAATCCACGGCTAACAACCAAACAAAATGAATGAGTGACTGAAGGTGGAGGAAGAATAAAGAAGAAACCACCATGAAACTAATTTTCTTTTCCAATCAGTTGAAACTGAAAACTGAAGCTGAAAACTGAACTGAAATAAGCTGTTAAACTACATTAAGGCATAAAAATGAAAGTTATGTACTCATTCCAAACGTTGATACTGTATTCTTTGAGAATATCTCCTTTTTCCATCTGATTCAGGCCTATCAATCTTCTTAAGAAAACACTCACATCTGTCCGGACATTATTGACCTTGTGTCACAAACCACCATGTCTCAGACTAACCTACACAGACACAGCCATCTCCTCTGGTGGCGTGGCCCATATTCCTCCAACAATGACCCATTAGGCTGCTTTTTCAGCCATTGCTGCTGCCTTTTGACTGCTCTGATAAGTGTGAATTGTAATTCCCTTTGATAAGGGTGCTCCAGATGTAGGTCATTATTTGAATTAGGCTGATGTATGTGTGTCAAAGTGTGCAGTGTGCTTTAACACAATAGGAAACCTATAGGGATCGAATTTTAAATTTAGAATTCTTCAAAACTTACAAAGACAGGCACAGTAGGCAATGGCCTAAGTGTATATAGACAGTATCACCTATATAAAGGAGCAGCGTCAATGTTAAAGCATTACTAACATGTTAATGCAATAAATTATTAATGCCACTGATTTTTCAACTGCATTAGCGTACTTTCTTAGTCTGACTCTTTGAGCCATCTTTAATTCCACCCTTAAGCCCAGCTGCTCATGCACTCTTGCCATGACACCATGAATGCGGTCCTCTTTTTCAATGAGGGGCTTCATTGATGGCTCTCTTGATGAAAGTTACTTCCAGCTACTGTCATGCAATGAATTTGTTTATCATTGAAGTATGTTGAGTCTGAATGCAAAGTACAGCGCTGATGCCGGCAACACGAGTAATATCAGAAAAATTTGCAATGGAGGACATCTTTGGAAGACTACACTGGACAGAGCTCACAGGACAACTATGGATACACAAACTAACAATCCCACAAACTACCAAAAGCAATGGCAAAGTAGGAGGCTACAGCTCCCTCTGAAACAATACGAAACATAGCGATATGAGAGCGAGAAGGCTACAACTGAGTTGGAACATGCACCCACTGTTGCTCTCACTGGACATCTGTGATGAAAACTGTAAACTGTGCTCACTTTATTTTCACACTCAGGCTTGTGCTGAGTTATTGAAGAAAAAAAGTACATTCACATGAAGTGTATTTCGTCCATTCATACAGCTATGAAAAAGTACACTGTTTTTTATTGAAATGGAAAAACACATTCTTTAGCATCAAATTAGAGCAAATAAGTAAAATGTGATTCATTGTGATTAACAACACAAACTAATGTGATAAAACACGATGAATTACTATCATCGTTTGACACCCCTAATAAAAAGCAAAGAAAATGACAGAAGATGGGACGAACGAGTGACTTTATGTGGCATCAGACAGAAAACATTTCTTACCCATTACCACACACTGCCAGACTGCGATACTGAGTTCAGGCTATGAGCTTCGTGAGCTCAAACCTTTGGAACTGCAAGGGTACATCTGGCTCCACACTAAAGGCCAAATACACACCACAAAAAACGGCCATTTACATGTTTCAAATGTTGTTCATTCCTAAGACAGATACAGCCAACAAAGCCATAACATCATAATTTCATAGTTTTATCCAAAGCATAATTTAATCTGACAGTACATTACCACAGGAAAACAAGCTTGAGAAAAGACTCACAGCTCACTGTGGCTCACCTCTGAGGCTCACGAAGCGTGCAGGCTAGAAGGCACACTATATGGGGCAATTTTCATGCTATGTGAACAAAACCCACATACTCAATATGTGCATTAACACTGAAAGAGACATTTCACTGTCAGCATGAGGCCTCAACTGAGCAAGACTGCTTTAAATGAAACACTCCTTCATAAAAATAAGACGTATGTGCTTCGGCCAGTATTTCAGGTGGCGTTTAGTTTTTTCAAAAATTTGTAAGCCCATAAACTTCTTGTCTGGTAGTGCAATCAGTACACGGCAGTGAGTGTGCCCGTGCAAAAATGTGCCCCATTTCTTTCATTCTTATGTCAGGTTGTATGAATTGAACACACTTATATATGCATAACCCACAAAACAAGGAGAAGAATTTACATTCTGAATGTGTGAATCGCCTTCTGGTCTCAACTGGAAAAATAGGTCTGACGCTTAATTAGCAAACAGGGTCAAGCAGTAAACCCCAGTCCATTGGTTATGGGTTATGCTATTCCAAATGGCAAACACTCATTCCATTAAAAGGCTTATAATCAGCGGTTTTTTTACAAAATGTATCCACGGTTCTAAATACATCCTGTAAAATAGGCTTTCATAATTACACTGATTTATAAATCTTAGAATAGTTATGTATCCATAACCATACAAAGGCATGTGAATTTTTATATGAAATGTCCAAAGGCCTACACTGTTTAACAGAAACACTGATGAGCGTTCATGCTGTCTGTTTTGCACTGTATATCTGTATTGTTTCAGGGCACCTCGGGACTGCCACTTATCGCCTACAAACTCCCCATAATTCCCTAACTGTCTCTTGTGCTTTGTCCCCATATGAGACACTTTCCTTGAGCGCTTGTCAACTGCAGACATCTCCTCTCTTCTCGATAGAGTGGGGTCTTTTCAGCAGGCACTCAGACGCATATAGGAGAAATATACTGCCTAAAACTCGAATAATGGTGTGCTTCACATTTGTCAGGCTTCGTGGTGACTGGCACTGACCTCTCAGAAGCAGTACAGAGCGCGCTTTGTGAAGACCTACTGTATTGCTGGATGAAATCCAGTAAAAATACAGTCAATCATTCTCACTGGCTTTTAAACTCTTGTGGCTTCAGAAATTCCTCCATTATATTGCAATTATTCATCGTTATGTGATAACAGCTAACTGAAAGTTCAGATGATGCAAACAGAATGCGCACTATTCAGAACTGCTTCAGAAACATAATGGTCACACTCAGTATGCTTACTTGTTAGTAATTGTTTTATACTGTGGTTATGTTTCATTTCATTTTCACTATTTTCATTCCTATAGGATGCTCTGGTTCTGGGTGCTATTCTGAGCATTTGAATAAAACATCACTTTGCACTCGATTCTGTCTTTTCCAACAGTACTTAGAACACGAAACGCAATGGCCTTCAATTATACAGCTAGCCTCTCCCAATGGAACTCAGTTCGTCTGCTTTACCTTTCCTGGGAGTCGTGATGCTGCACATGGTCTACCGTCTGTTGCCAGATTGGCCATCCCAGGGGAGGCCAGTGGAGCACCAGCCCTTGGCCCACCTGCCTGCTGGAGTAACGTGCTGACAGGACGGAAAGCCTTCAGAAAGACGACCATGGGGGAAAAACACCAAAGCACAAATTGAATGCATGGACAAGGAGCGCTGAAGTATCAAGAATAATTCAATCTGGGACTGCTATTGCAACCATTAGCACACACCATAGTCACAGCCCCCGAGGGTCATTGTGACACTGCACTGAAATGTGTCAGCCTATTGCTGAGAATGGCTCTAGTATGAGTAGGCAGAAATCGCTAAAAATTGTGTTGACTTCAGAACATAGATGGTTGTAGTTATCAGACCACAGAGAATTCTCATAACAATACAGGGTAAACAAGCAAAATAGTTTGGCCATTCGGGAAACATCTTTTTTTCCAGAGCAGTAATATCCTGAGTGTTTGCAGCTGGACCATATGCCACTCTTAATAGTTATTATATTCTCCAGGGCATTTCCCCAACAGTAGCCCAGCACAGTCATGCTGGGCTGTTTACTCATTTTTCAAAGGATCCCCCCCACCCCCCAACGCTCAACTCTCCAGATTTTTTGAGTCATTAATTAAACAAACAATTTCCAGGCTCAGACTACATTGTATCCCCACTGGAGCAAAAGGAAACAGCAAGTAAATAAGTAAACAACAGTGAAAGTGAAAGATAAGGCAAATTTTGTTTATGGACAGTTTCCACAGGACAGAATTATCTGAATCTCCCTTTGTTTGATCTGCTTTTTGTTCAGGATCAAAATTTTTATTCTTATACTGGGATGCCTCTAACCCATTTGCTAAAATTATAGCAAATACATCAAATTTCAGATTTACAACATAGTTCTGTACAGAAAGTAGCAAAAGCAATGAAATGACTGATTAGTATCAATCTGATTGATCAGCAAGCACCACATGCTTAGTGCATGTTCTCTACTGAGATAAAGGTCCACTCCTCTTATCTGGCCATATTACTTGAATCTTTCCAGACCACTGGGGTCACTGTCTCAAAGACCAGTGCATTAAGGTTCATTTGAGTGGTTGATCATATTGGTGTACTGGACACTCTAACGATCTATGACCATTTTTCAAAATCCTAACTTTTA